ACGTTGAATTTTTTGGTTTATGAAGCATTGGCATTACACTTAGGTTAAACCATGTGATGATTTTCACAAGCCTTGATTTTTAAAACCACTCTATATCGTCTTTTTATTAGGGTTTAAAAACTTGTTCGAGCAATTTATCCAATAATGATTGGCTCCTTTACCTCTTAAGCCTGCTCATGTAAAATATTTGGGCTTCTTACTTCGCCTATTTATATTCTATTAATAAAGGACAGAAGGATGAGTATTGCAACTATGTTGAAAGAAATAAATTGGCTTTCAGTTCAGAATTATGTTCAGTACATGACTGATATTTATTTATAAAATAAAAATGACATAGTACCCACAATATATCCCCTATAGTAGTGCATCTCACTTGTTAAAGAGTTGGCACTAAGTTTGCAGCGCAAAAATGTGTATGCGTCTGGCCGCTCAACTAACTCGATATGGCGGTAAATTCAAATATAATTTTAAGGCGAAATTTAAATTTCCCGCCAAAATCGTAAATTTCCAGCAGCGGAATGGCGGGAATTTTTAAATATATTCATTTGGCAATAATTATTGAGAAGTATATTGCATGTTCGATTAAACGAGCCGTAAATCCAGGCGCTATTTTTATTTTGATAGCTAAAAATAATACTATTTCTTTTATTATTAGCTATTATAATAAGAGCAGCATTTGAATTAACAACACATTTAAAAGAACATGTAATATACTTTTACATTTTACCTAAATCACTTATTTTTTACCTATAGAGGTTAGATCTGAAAAAAAATTGGCTCAGGTAAATAAAACAAAAAATTGTATAAAGTATTTTATTTGAAAAATTATAAACTTATTTAATATATTTTAAAGTCGAAGATAACTCTAGCCATATCCATTTAAGAGATGTTTGATAATACAGTGACAGCTATCGAATGTTGTACAATACGTTTTGCTAATGTCCAAGTAAAAACTACAAAGAGTTAGCATTAGTGGGAGAAGGAATAGAATACTATGAACGTAGCCAGCCGGCTACGTGGGGATGCATCACACCGTGTGTCTGTTCATATTACACAGCACACAAGGCAACATTCATATTATTCGTTTCCTGATTGAACTAATGCGCTAACTCTTTAGTTTTCTTTTCGATTCTAGCCAAGCGTATTGGAAAGTGTTCATTAGCCGATACTGTATATAAATGCTAAAATCAATAAGTGAAATAAAATAATTTAGTTTAAATGGACATCTACTTCGAAAAAAGTAAATTATTATATTTATATTTTAAAGGCTGTTGCCACTGGAAAACTATTATCTAGGGCTTGGATGACAGCCATAGGACTCCCTCCTTGAATCGTGTCCATAGGAAAGCATAAGATCATAGTTAAATTATAATATTAAGAGGGTAGGTATTAACTGAAAAAATATGAAAAATTATTACAAATTTACCTCAAAATTGGCACCTACATTAAAAGAAGGGAAAACGGAAACATACAATTGTTATATGTACTTGAATTTTAAAGGCTTTTCCCACTGGAAAAGTATTATCTAGGGCGCAGACCCTTGGATGACAGCCATAGCAATCCCTCCTTGATTCCTCTTTTTCTGAGTTTGTTGTACGTTTTGTTTCCCATATTAAATAAGAAAGCACTTAATACAACACAAATCACAATAAATATCGCTGAAACAAAATTAATATTAAATTTCGTAGAAGAATAAATAAAAAAATTATCACTTGTCAATACTGACACTTCATGCTTCGCTTGTCAAAAACTTCCTCTTCAACCAATGAACGTGCCGATGTTGGACGTGTCAAAATTCAAAACGACTAGCGCCATGAGACCTGTGTCTGGCCGCAGCGTAACTCAAAGCCATTTCTTGAATCCCAGTAACATTACTATAGGGGATATATTGTGATAGTACCATCGCATCAGATCTATTAGAAACAATTCAATATAATTCGTAATATCACAACTATAATACCAATCTGACTTTCATGTACGGCAAACCATCACTAAAAGTTCCCAAAATACAATTTTTATTAGGGCCGTTTGCACCACTTCCTCTTAGGTGAACCTTAACTTTGAGTATCACCTAAGTTGTACATTTCATTTTCTGACCACAATCCAAATAGTTTAAGTTCTACTTAAGTAATAGTGAAACTAAGCTGAAGGTATCATCGGTTTAAATTCTGCTTTGCGTGTTTTTAACGTCAATCTGACAAGTTTTATATGTTTATCAATAAAAAATAATATAATATAATTAGAATTAGATAAAAGTGTGGCCGAAATAAAGTATAAATGGAATTTTTTGAAAGTTTTGATAACGGTATAGAATGTTTAATAATAAACTCTTTTCTTTAACTGAGTAGTTTGGTGCACGCTTGGTTTCAGTTTTTAATTTTGTTTTATTTTCCATCTTAACTGTTAAAGTACAAAATGCAAAATTACAACACAAATTTTAATCAAATAGATGACAATTCGACACTGACATTGATTAGTAATTTACAAATTCTCTAAAATTTTACACTGCTGCAAGTTGTTCTTCACCTTAGCATAGATATTGTTAAGTGAAACCTATGCAAAACATACCAAACTTAAGGTTCACCTTAAGTCAAGGTACACCTTAGCTAAACCGTAATCGTAAGTTGAAGTAGTGCAAACGGCCCTTAAAGGTTTAAACAAATTTAATAGACTGCCTACAGAAATTAAAAAAAAAAACAATAAATGTTTTCAAAAGTAACCTCAAACAACCCTAGTAGAAATTTATATTGGCGCAATATTGGCCAGATGTTGCCGCCAATATTCAACAATATTGGAATTAGAAAAAAATGTTAACGCTTTCCAATATACGGCCAATATTGGCGGGATATTGCACAATATTGTCCCACTATTTAGCCAACGTTAGGTTACATTGGAAAGGAATATTGCGCCAATATTGGGCAATATTGCCGAGCCTAGAGAACCTATATTGGCCCGACAATATTGCGCCAATATTGGCGCAATATTGGTTACTACGATGGGTTGAAACAGCGTACCAATATTGTGGCTATATAGCACCAATATTGGTAGTTAATTAAGGGTTTTCACGGTCACACATTGGAAACGAATATTGCGCCAATATTGGCAGACCAATCAAACCCAAAATAGGCCGGCACATATTGCGCCAATATTGGCAGACCAATGAAACCCAAAATAGGGTGGCGAATATTGCTCCAATATTGGCAAAACATATAGGCCCAATATTGGTTTACAATTGTGGGCCAATATTGGCAAAATATATAACCCCAATATTGGTAATAAATATTGGGGTAATATTGGTAATAAATATTGGGGTAATATTTCTAAAATAGATTGCCTTAATGTTGCTAGCGCATATTGGGCCAATGTTGTTCCTACCTGAAAGTCCAATAATTATACAATCAACCAATATAAGCTATATATTGGCTATATACCGACTATATATGTATATGTAAATCTGATTATATATTATAGTTTTTTTACAATATATAATCAGATTAATATATACATATTTAGTCGGTATAAAGCCAATATGTAGTTTATATTGGTTGTTAATTTTATACAATTATTGGACTTTCAGGTAGGAAGAACATTGGCGCAATATACCCCAGCAATATTAGGACAATCTATTTTGGAAAAACCCCAATATAAATAAGTAATATATATTCAGAGTTATTATATGACTAGAGATAAACAAAACAATGTAGGAAATGCGAAATATAAAAATTAGTTAGTTTTCAATGGATTTATTAAAAACAAAAAAAAAGGGTTAAACAAATAAGAAAACATTGAAATTATAAAAAAGTTTAAAAAATGTTACTTCTGTTCAACTTTACAAACAGGGCGTTGCATGTTCAAAATTTTATTAATGAAAATAGGGGGGAGTCGGCCGTGCCTGGCTACCTACAATTTTTTTTTCAAAAACAAATTATGAGAATATTATTTTTAAGGATGTCTATAATATTTTCACATATACAGGGGTGTCCATACAGTCGGTCTCCAGTTGAAGTTCAATTTTTTTATGAAAAGCCTGTATTTTATTACATTTCTGAATTCTAATTGAAGAACTTTTTCAACAAACGAGTATTTTGCAATTTCAAGTCACTATACTGACTACTACTTAATTTTTTAAAAGCTATATTTAAAAATGTTATTTAAAACTAATAGATGTAGGTAAAAAAACTGACCGTTAAATATGAATACTGCCAAATAACCAGGTGTATTGTTTGAGTGGAAAACTATTTATGTGAAATTATTTTAGAAATCCTTAAAAATGTTATTCGTATAACTTGTTTTTGAATTTTTTTCGATTTTTGGTTGGGCCCTCCCCGTTCGTAGTTGCCCACCCGGAATGTACGTAAAAAATGATCCCAGAAAATATAAATGTATATGAACTATCAATGAATGGACACACCCTGCATATAACTCACATAAATGAAACAATAACTAATATAAATAACTTATTTAGATAAAAACATTGTAAATCATACAAAAATAAAAGAAACAAAAAAATCCGTAGCAATTAACATAATTGCATAAATAAAGAGAAAATATGCATGTTACGAGTAGCTCACATTAAAATGCGAAGAATAACGATTGCACAGTACGAATTCTGACAAGTGAAAAAAATATGTTTAAAATATAATCGTCTTGGAAGTCAATAGGCGTAATCCACAAATTTCGTGAAAATGAGATAAGTATATACAAATGAAACGCAAGGTAACAAGAAACTCCACAATAATATATTAAATGTAAAAAATATACAATACTCATCTACAATTGTTTCATTACAGCATGTAACATCTTCAGGATGACAAGAAATTATATTTAACAGATAACAACTAATTATTATAATATTAGATCAAGTAGTTGTCATCTGTCAAATATAATTTCTTGTCATCCTGAAGATGTTACATGCTGTAATGAAATAATTGTAGATGAGTATTGTATTTTTTTTTATATTTTTTACATTTAATATATTATTGTGGAGTTTCTTGTTACCTTGCGTTTCATTTGTATATACTTATCTCATTTTCACGAAATTTGTGGATTACGCCTATTGACTTCCAAGACGACGATATATAGGTTGTATGTCAAAACATACCCATATAAAAAAATTAAAAAGCCGCTTGTAAAAACCCACTATGCAAATAACACTAACACATACAGGATGATCCTACAACGCGATAATATTTATAAAAGATACTTTACGTATTATATCCTAATGCACATTATCACACTGCTTAAATCCATATTATTCACAATAACTAAACTTTTTCGTAGCCTTCCATTAGAGTCGACACCAGCTGTGTATTACATCCAGTAGAACTTGCGGTGGAATCTCCTGAAGAGAAAGACTGACTAGAAGTACCTAAAACAATAATGAAAAAAATCATTAGATAATTTGATAAAATCAATATTTATTGATTTTATTTCTTAAAGGTAAAATAAAGATCAAAATAGATTATTAAAAATGATTGAAAACATAAATCTGATTTTATGTAATAATTAGGAGAATTCTATTCATGGCAGAGACAATGTCGAAGAAAATTGAAAGGTGTAGAGTTCAGACAAATAAGGGACAACATATTGGAATAATAACTCATGCATGTTAAAAAGCATAAATTTTGGGAATATTCTAAGCTGATTGTCTACACTTTTATAGGGAAACAATATCAAGTAATTTTAAACTAACCATTTCGTTTCGTTGATCTTGCTTTTCTGCCTCCGTCACGATCACCAGATGTTGCCAGTACTAACGAAGTTCTTTTTAGTACAACAGTATCATCTATGTCGTTGTAACGTATTTTAACAGCTGCAAGTATAACCTTGTAGAGCCATAATGCCGAAAAATTTTTCTTTCCTTTTTTACCAAGACCGCTAAATTGGAGACTGAGTTCCTTAGACAACGTTTTTCGTAGTATATTGGAAATTAGGTTGCTAATGTCTTTTCCTCCAACAAGCGAGACAGAAGCAAGCTAAAGCACAACAAAGAAAAAATTAATAATTATTGAAGCAACATTAAAATCTAATTGACTTGTATGTACACTGTACAAAATATACTCACCACTTTTTGGAAAAATTCATTATGTTAAAGCTTCACTTCAACATCCTGAAGCTTCTCTTCGGACTGTATGGGAAACATTGAAGCTATTTCAACGTCTTCTTGTGAAATATTACATTTTGATATGGCAACGTTCGAAGTTGAAAATTGTTCACGCAAACCTCTTAGTTCATGCTGAATGCCACCAAGTATTTTTGCCAAGGTATTTAAGGTTTTATCCTGTTTCTCCATAATATTGGCTACCTTCTCCACAAAATCTGAAAATTAAATCATGGTTAGCTGGCATGGCATACTTTCCTAAAGTCTACTACTTTTTAAAGAAGCTAATTGGTGTGTAGTATTGGTAAGAAAGTTGGAAGTTTTTTCAGGTGTGCTTGATTCATACAAATGAAACACAATGTAACAAGAAACTCCACAATAATATATTAAATGTAAAAAATATACAATACTCATCTACAATTGTTTCATTACAGCATGTAACATCTTCAGGATGACAAGAAATTATATCGAATATAATTATATCAAATATATTTGATAGCTTAGCCCCTAGAATGTAGATGAGTATTGTATATATTTTTATATTTTTTACATTTAATATATTATTGTGGAGTTTCCTGTTACCTTGCGTTTCATTTGTATGAATCATGAATAGATTCCATGAAGTAAGGGTTTCAACAATTCAAACTGATGTGCTTGCTTGTTTGGGTTAGTATGACCGTTGATTTTACATCCATTTGTCAATTTTCAGGTGTGCAAATTTAAAAGTAAAATAAAAATCCAATAGTTTTTAAAAAGCTTCACTATATTTCGCAATACTCAGGCTAACCGGTTTCACTTAGACTCAGCTAAGCATCGTCAGAGCGAAATATAGTGAAGCTTTTTAAAAATCTATTGGATTTTTATTTTACTTTTAACAGGCTTCAAAACATAAATCTGTGCAAATTTATTGAATTACCACTTTTACTGATAAAACAAATTGATGTAGTATATAACAATTTTTATTTTTAAGTAGTAAAGCAACACATAAAAGCAATAGGCGTATTTTAATCATTGATTTTTTAAATAACAATTTATATATATAAAGGGTGAACTACCTTAAAGTAATGACCTCAAAACACACCCGCTTTTAATTACATTTTTAGATAATTCCTGAAGAGCTGACTCCATTGCCCTATCACAATAGGGGTCTATATAACTAAACAGATCGATGGCTCAATCAAAAACCGCCACAAGTCAAAAAACAAAGAAAATTACATTTTTGTTTTACTGGATGCAAAATATCATTTAAGTTTTTATTTTAAATATCGCAACAAACAAAAATATCCTTATCATTTAAAATCTAGCTAAAACTGCCCCAATTCTAGTTATTTTCTGCAAAAACACCCAATTTTTTTTACAAACTATGGCAATTTTTTTACAAACTATGCGATAACTGGAGTTAGGGTGCTTTTATAATCGTAATCGTTAATTTTAATAGGAAAATGTCGTAGCTTTTAAATAAAGATTTTATGTCAAAAACAAAATATTCATAACAGAAACTTACAAAACTTTAAAATTAAATTTCTCGAAACAATACTATTTTAGTAGTGGCAGTATTTGATTGAATCATCGAGATAATAGCTAAGATGTTTAAAATTGAAATTCTTTCTAGGGCTAAGCTACCTACCTATGTATTATACAAATTCAAATCTTTACTAATCCTACCAAATGTGTTATCCTACACATCGTTTTCAGCAAACGTCTTATTTAAATCCAAAAATCTGATGTGTCCAACACATGACTTTCCTATCTAGTTATTATAGGCTTTTTCCGGTTATTCTGTACAACCTATTGCAGCATCTCTATAAATGTTTAGAGGATAAACTAAATATATACATTGTCCACATACATCTACCTTGAAACATTTTTCTATAGATATTCATGGAAAACGAAAATACTGAAAAATTTAAATTTCCTACAATTTTTTCATTACGGTCCATTTTAGAAAAATTATGTATAAACAAAAATTATAGAGATCGATATCGCAAACAACTTTTATTTCAAAAACTTTCATAAAAATCAGAATTTTGCACATTTTGTCAAATTTCTCGAATACGGACCATTTCAGGAAATTTTTACATAATACAAAAATTATAGATAATAATATTAGAAGTAACTTTTATTTGAACAATTTTTTTCTCCAAACATTAATAACAGATATATTCCATAAAATATAAAAGTGGCCTCCCGTAAAGTACCCCCCAGATGTTCCGACTATGTCCAAAATCTAATCATTTCACGTCAGGCCGAAATAAACCTTAAGTTTAAAATTTAATCTTTTTTTCTTTATCCGTTTTTGAGTTTTCTTCAAAATTCGAAATTTACATATTTTCTCAAATATCTCGAATACGGTCTATTTAAGAGAAATGATCTATAGAATAGAAATTATAGAGAATTATATTACAAACAACTTTTATTTGAACAATTTTTATAAAAAATAATTTTTTTTACATTTTGTCAAATTTCTTGAATACGGACCATTTTAGAAAAATTTTGCATAGAACAAAAATTATAGATAATTATATTAGAAGTAACTTTTATTTGAAGAATTTTCTTCTCCAAACGTAAATACCAGATATATTCCATAAAATATAAAAATGACCACCTATAAAGTACCCCCCCAGATATTCCGACTCTGCCCAAAATCTAATCAGCTCATTAGATGCTGAAACAAAGCTTAAGTTTAAAATTTGGTGTTTTTCTGTGTATCGGTTTATGAGTTATGCGTTATACAGACACACACACACAGACACACACACACACACACACACACACACACACACACACACACACACACACACACACACACACACACACACACACACACACAGACATCATCGCGAAAATAGTCAAAACGGATTCAGGGGACCTCAAAACGTAAAAATCCGTCGAAAACTCGAGGTCGAAAAAAATCATGATTCCTATACTTTCCTTATATCTGTATACAGATAGGAAAGTAAAAATAGGGATGTCAGAAATTTTTTTTATTTTCGTGTTTACTGTATGTTATTTTAGGTACAAAACACGTATTTTATTAAAGCATACCTATATGATTAAGTCTGTAAGAATGTACCCAAGGCCGATGTTAGACAAAAATCTTTTATCAAATAATTCAAATAACCCTCATAATCAGACATGAGAGATTACGTTGTAAGTTTTTGCATGGTTTCGGCGTATATTTAAATGGCACCATCTAAGTACTTTAATTTAATTTATCAAAGCAATATTTTTAATAATATATAATATAACACCGTGTACATTGGGTCAAGAACATATTCATACAAGATTTTTGTCAAATAAGTCCTACATAATGCTCTAACGACTATTATTGCAAAATGGCGGATGGCGTCTCTCTCTATACACTCCTGTATGTAAATAAAATCTGTGTACTTACCGTTTCCCAGACGTATTAATTTTCACAACACAATCCAAACACTTATGTTTATTATTAGTGTACCACCAAAACTAAAATGTAATTTACTGAATCCGAAAATGCTACTAAAAACCAAAAACACAAAAGAAAGTAAAGAAACGTTGAGTCGTTGAGTTGAACATCAACAAATAAACTGAAATAAATGGATGCCAGCGAACAGCGAACGTGAACGCGCGGTAGTCGGCTGCAGCTGCGCGGTACGGTGTATTGCAAAAAAATCTAAAGCCTATGTATATCCAATATTGGTCATATATTCTCAATATTGGTCAATATTGCGTCAATGTCTGGCCAACATTTACAACAAAACCTCGAATATTGGTAAAAATATTCTAAAGTTATATTGGCCAAACATTGGCTTGCCAATCTATACATAATATTGTGTCACAATATTGGGGCTATATTGATCGCAACAATATTGGAAGTTCGTTGGTTCATCAACATTTTGTTTAACCAATATTTACCCAATATTGATTCCCAATGCAAAGGCAATATTGCAAAAAAATCTAAAGCCTATGTATATCCAATATTGGTCATATATTCTTAATATTGGTCAATATTGCGTCAATATCTGGCCAACATTTACAACAAAACCTCCAATATTGGTAAAAATATTCTTAAGTTATATTGGCCAAACATTGGCTTGCCAATCTATACATAATATTGTGTCACAATATTGGGGCTATATTGATCGCAATAATATTGGAAGTTCGTTGGTTCATCAACATTTTGCTTAACCAATATTTAGCCAATATTCGATCAATATTGATTCCCAATGCAAAGGCAAGATTGCAAAAAAATCTAAAGCCTATGTATATCCAATATTGGTCATATAATCTCAATATTGGTCAATATTGTGTCAATGTCAGGCCAACATTTACAACAAAACCTCCAATATTGGTAAAAATATTCTTAAGTTATATTGGCCAAACATTGGCTTGCCAATCTATACATAATATTGTGTCACAATATTGGGGCTATATTTATCGCAATAATATTGGAAGTTCGTTGGTTCATCAACATTTTGTTTAACCAACATTTACCCAATATTTGACCAATATTGATTTCCAATGAAAAGGCAATATTGCAAAAAAATCTAAAGCCTAGGTATATCCAATATTGGTCATATATTCTCAATATTGGTCAATATTGCGTCAATGTCCGGCCAACATTTATAACAAAACCTCCAATATTGGTAAAAATATTCTTAAGTTATATTGGCCAAACATTGGCTTGCCAATCTATACATAATATTGTGTCACAATATTGGGGCTATATTGATCGCAATAAAGGCGCAATATTGGAAGTTCGTTGGTTCATCAACATTTTGTTTAACCAACATTTAGCCAATATTTGACCAATATTGATTTCCAATGAAAAGGCAATATTGCAAAAAAATCTAAAGCCTAGGTATATCCAATATTGGTCATATATTCTCAATATTGGTCAATATTGCGTCAATGTCCGGCCAACATTTACAACAAAACCTCCAATATTGGTAAAAATATTCTTAAGTTATATTGGCCAAACATTGGCTTGCCAATCTATACATAATATTGTGTCACAATATTGGGGCTATATTGATCGCAATAAAGGCGCAATATTGGAAGTTCGTTGGTTCAACAACATTTTGCTTAACCAATATTTAGCCAATATTCGACCAATATTGATTCCCAATGCAAAGGCAATATTGCAATAAAATCTAAAGCCTATGTATATCCAATATTGGTTATATATTGTCAATATTGGTCAATATTACGCCAATGTCCGGCCAACATTTACAACCCAATATTGGCGGAATATCGAGAATCAATCTAAGGCCAATATTGGCTAAATATTTAAATCTTGCTGCAATATTGCGCCAATATTCCAATATTGGGGCAATGTTGCGCCGATATATAGCCAACATTCGGTTCTACTAGGGAATACTTGATAAATAAACAGAACGGATATACTTTCTTGTAATAATACTCTTTAAACCTGCCCTTTTTAAGTATTTCCCTTAATTTATTGTTATTACCCCTCGTTTTATCCGCATTTATTATAGATTATTTGTTTTAAGATCATGTACTTTATTTTAAAAAATTACTTGTTTAAACAATTACTTGATGTTATATTAATACCACTTACTATGTTTAAATTATTAATAGTTTTGTGAAGATATGTTATATCAATTTTTTTTTATGACAAATCGTTTTAACTATAAGACAAAAGCGGCTAAGTAATTTGTTGATTTCTTGACTGGTCTTGAATTTTAAGATTCAAATTTGTTTGTAGTTTAATTAAAAAGAGATAGATAGAGACAAAGACAAATTTCTCCCTCTTCTCGATACTTCTGCTCTGAGAACATCGAGCTCGCTCTATGTTCTCGCTCCAAAGCAAAACAAACACTTTAGGGATATCTTCGCTCGGAGATCTCCGATGGTCAAATCAAACGCAACACACATATCACAGTTGACATCTTGATACTTGATAGGCACAGCCAAGCATTATTTTGATTTTTACCAAATAAAATAGCCGGTTAATTATTCTATGGGGTTGCAACAGAGAAATTTGATGAAGGTGTTTTTGTGGCTAGGGGCGAAATAGTAGTACGCTTAATAGCACCACCATAAAAAGTAATTTTTAAGAAACTGCTTATATATTTTTCATAAATTGGCAGACTTGGCGACTAATTTCGAATGAAAATAGCTTCTAAAATGACTATATGGTTGCAAGTATGAAGGTCGCAACCCGCTTTAGAAATTTCACCTTTACTTTCAACAGCTGTTGTTTGACAGGTCGTTAGAGAATATTTGCAATTTATGGAATGTGAAAAATGTTAGGAATTTTGACGTCAGAAATAATTGAAATTCCTAAAATTGTTCACATAAGGAATGCATAGGCGGATTTTAAGAAAATTGTTATTAAAGTAGTTAGGATGAACCGACATTTCTCAAAATCAATAGGGTTCTAAGTTAGAAGTAATTATTCAAGAAAATCAAAACCGCAAGTCAATCAGAACTTTCGTTCTAGAGTTATCGTGCCGGCATACATACAGACGACCAGACGAAACATTTTTTTTTGGATTTTCGGATTCAAAATGATCAGAAACATGAAAAAAGTTTTAAAAAATGGGGGTCAGAAAATTTTTTCGTCTGCACGAATGCAATACTGAGGGCCCATAGGAAGGGCCTCAGTAATTATCTACATGTTTTTCTATCAAATTCATAAATGTTCTTGAGAAAAATATTAACCAATATTTAGTTTGTTGATGATTTTAGGAAATATATTATAACCTTATTGAATTCTACTAATCACAGTAACGATCTAAAGTGTGATTTAAAAATCATTGTATCATACAACTCTACTTTTTCCACAATTTACTTTTCTATATTCTAATATCCATTTTTTACAAAGAAATCAAATTACAGTAATAAGTTTAGGTAGTTTATGAAGAGAAAACAAAGAACATGATGTAATAATAATAAAAAAAAAGAGTACACAAACAGCCCTTTCTGTTAACATTGTAAAATTCTTTTAGACATTCTAAATTAATTGAAAAATACATAATTTGGTCACGACAGATTATTCATTTCGCGAGATAAACGTGTCAATTATGACGACCATAATTTGTTGAATGATTATTTTCATATAACAATAGTCTATTACTAGTTTTTGATCCAAAATTAAATTTTTATTACACCATTATTACAACTTATACAAGAATATCAAATCCGAAGAAGTAGGTAACTAACTAGAAATACTTTTTGAATATGGATGTTAATACTGTTGAACTAGCAGTTATATGTCACTAATAAATACTAATAGGAATAACTAACTCCAAAGTCAAAATAGTGCGAATGTCTTTACTTGACATAAGCGAGTTCAAAGTAGTTACTTTGCACAAGCTTATGTCACTTTTCCTCACAAATATTGCTGTATTGTAATAAATTACCAGCTTTGCAAATGGTAATTAATGTGGGAAAGCGCGTTTTGAATAGTGATTGTAGAAAACAAAATGAATTTTTCCCTTATTAGTATTCAAATATTGCACTTTAATGAAGAATTTGTACTGATACAACTCCAATATCAAACAACTTTCATTGGTTTTGTATATATTTTATTATATAGTATGTTAACAAACACACCCAGCAAAATAAATATCCTTAATTATACTATCTTTTGAAATACGAGTTGGGTAATTAATAAGTTGATCAACTCCTATGGTTGATAATACAGGATTTAAACTGTTTTAAATACTTTTTCAGATTACCAGCAGTTTAAGAAGAAACGACATGAATTACAACTATACCACTATGAGCAAGTGCAAACTAATTCCTGATGAGCCCCACCCCATATGAGTAGACGTTTGTGACAATTTGCAAGATTTGTACTGAAAGAATGGACTTTGTTTACATAAGGTATATTTACTAAAATAGTTAGCTGGCTATAAAATCAAATATCACTTCCACTTTACCGGGAATTGGCAATAATATATCTATCTTTTTAATAATTAATTCGAGCTGAAACCAATATATTTTTTAAATGACCAAGTTGAACAATAACAGAGGGTCCAAAAATACTGTTCACTAAATGATTAACTAATGGAACTAGGCTTCGGAAAACCAAAGGCTAAAGGGTTGAAATAGGGCATATTCTTGTGAGGAAAATCGAGATTTTAACTTATTTTTCCACACAAACCCATCGAATGTATGAAAACATACATCGTCACTAATCTGAAAAACATTGGCTTGAATGACCCGAATGGATAAGTACATTTTGGTGTCGGAAAATTTCTGTTAAGGATAATCGAATTTTCCATAGGTTATCTCCAAGAGCCACTCGTAAATTTCCATTCATTCTATTCAACATCGATGTACTTTTTAACCCTTTTCGAGGTTTGTACGTGAAAATGGGACACCTAAATCTGTCACTGTCTGACGGTCTATAACAAAACGAATATAAATTCTAAAGTCAAAAATATTCAAACATTTTTTCTTCATCCCCGTCTATATTCTCTCTTTCATCAACTTGGTCTAAGTCTTGTTCAATACTACTGAAAGCATTTTCAATAATACTGAGATAAAACTGTTAGTTTAAGATATGACCCTTTTTGATATTAAGTTTTATTGGCCCTTCATATTTTCTTTTTAACATTTTTGTTGTCAGTATTTTGTCACCTAACTTAACACCTCTCCTACTAGCATTTACTTCTTCAAAGCTTCCATTTAAGGTGTGTTTAATAAACATGGAATTTGGGTGTTTGCTATCAAACTGAAATCAGCGCACGTCTGCAACCTTGATTGGTTGTTTCTTGGTGGTAAAATTATTTATCATTACCTCATCAAAAGTATAAAAATCTTGAGATATTTCCACTGCTACAAAAGTTTTTTTTCTGTTTGATTTTTTCACAATATCAACCCATTCTTCTATAGAAAATACTTGCTTAATATACTTTTTATGCTTTTCAATTAAAGCAAAATACCTGTCTGGGGCAAATGTATGTCTAGATATTAGAAAACGATGCTCTATGGTTTTGTAGACTTTTTTCCTAACTAACTAGCGATAACGCCATTATTAGACAATTTTTGTTTGACCCCTGCAGTTATCGCTACAAGGTTTTTCGGTCCTGGGTCAGACTTGTTACATATTTTAAAAGTACACTACCAACTTAGGAACTTCCTCTTTTGCACACAGTCTCACGTATGCCAAGATTGTTGGGACTGGACTGTCTACTTGTCCTACTAGTAGGACATATACCTTGTTTTGCTAAATATCTGACTAATAGGACAAATAGTACTAAAGCTAAATAATCTACTATTAGATAGATTTATCATCATCAACCATAATCCAATAGGACAAATAGTTCCAAAGCTAAATATCCTACTATTTGGAGGTTTCTCGTCGGGCACCATAATATTAACCAGGAGTAAAAGTAAGGCTAAGTTTGTTAGTTTTAAATTACAGAATGAACTGAGCTAAACTTGAACTTCTAATAAATGTACACATAGTGTATGCTACCCTACGTAGGCCTTGCGATTATAAAACCTGTCTTTGATTTTTGACCTAATTTGCAGTTTAAACATTATTTTAACCACCTTTAATATTATTTTAAGACACAAGTGGAAGGTGTAAAAGAAGTTGATGTTCTTATAACGTGTTTAATTTGTATAAAGTAATTTACAAAAATGTAACATGCATAGAAAATAAATAAAATATAAGTAAATAACATTTTAATCCACTCATGCCTCTATTTCATTAGTATTAAATTTATCTGTCATCATAAATTTAATTTAATTCCATTATCGATATTCAGGAATTTATACAGGAAAATGAGGGAAAATCATTTGTACACTTAATAATTTTATTTTCAAATTTTATCATAGGTATTAAATGTACATAATTTATTAGTTTTTTCTGAATTCTTAGTTCTGGATCGTTTTCAACCTATGGCAGTTACCTCTCTTCCCCTGGGATGATCCTTTTGTTTCATAGGTTTAGGAGTCTCGATTTTTTTCCAATAAATCTTTTTTGGTATCTGAATTTTTTTATGACGTATCTTATTTCTGATAATATTTGACTTTCAAGGGTTGATCTACAAACAAATAATTACTAAAGGCACTATTAATTTAAAAAACACTCACTTAAATGTAAATTGTTTTCATTTTGAACTATTTTGGACTATGAACACTAGGGTGGAGCAACAGTATATAGACCGTCAGATAGTGACTAATTTATGTGCCCCATTTTTGCATACAAGCCTCGAAGAGGGTTGAAAAGTACATCGATTTTGAGTAGAATGAAAGGAAATTTACGAATGGCCCCTGGGGATAACATATGGAAAATTCGATTTTCCTTAACAGAAATAAAAGGTGTTTTTTGCTCATTTTTCCACGCAAGCCGTTTTTACTATATGATTAATTAATAGAACTAGGCTTCGGAAAACCAAAGGCTTTAATGTTGCAAGTGGCTAAAGAGTTGAAATAAGGGCGTAATTTTGTAAAGAAAAATCGATATTTTAACTGATTTTTCCACACAAGCCCGTGGGAAGTATGAATACATACATCGTTACTAGCCCGAAAAACATATTGGCTTGAATGGCGAGAATGGATAAGTGCATTTTGGAGTCGGAAAAATTACCGCAATTTTTTTTTGATTTTTGAATTATTTTTTCATGCAAGCCTTTTTAACCATAGAATGTTATTAATGTGTTAGACGTAATAATAAAATTGGCATGAGTATCGGATGTGGACGAAACGAAGGCTTGCGTCGGAAAGTTGCAGGAAAATTGTATGGACAATGCCACTATTTTCTCATGCTAACCGTTTGACATATGCTTAGAAAAAGTGATTCTAAGACTATATAACAAAAGGCTTGAGTGTCGGACATGGTCATCATATTAATTATATATAATTTATTTAACAAAAAACTGAAAAAAAAAAGTTTATAAATTTCCACCATTTTCCCACACAAGCCTTTTGGCATATGCTTAGAAATAGTGTTTCTAAGACTGTATATAAAAAGGCTTGAGTGTTGGACATGATTATCATATTAATTATACATAATTTATTTAACAAAATGCTGACAAGAAAATCTATAAATATCCACCATTTTCTCACACAATCCGTTTGGCATAGTGATTTTATTACCCTATAATAAAAGGCATAGCTAAGTATCGAAAATGGAACATATAATTAATAATTTTACGACTTAAATTAAAAACAAGGTGATTTTACAATATTCATTACGAGTTGAATTTACATATATAAATTCTGGTCATCTTCGGCCTCACTTATGTCCTCTTCTTCGCCGCTTGCTTCATCTTCGTCCGATTCTAAGACGTCGATGTGTATGCTTCCATCGTCTTCTCCATCATCTGTATCGTCTCCATCTTCGTTGTTATTACCATATTCGACAGCCTCGTCTACATTGTAAAGGTTTCGATAAAAAGGCGGTGGATAAAATCGAGAGTACAGGCTTTTTTTGTGTATGACATAATCATTGATATAGTGAATTACAACCTCTAATGCTGCTTTCCTACTGGCTCGTTTTTTGTGCCATTCTCCGTCATTACAACGATTTTGTCTTACATGGGCATAATTATAATATTTCTTGCAGATAGGGTGGTAAGAGATAGGTCTATTTGTTTCCTTTGCTTCTACTATCACATTTACTAATTCTAAATCATCCCACTTCAACGCATTCTCTAATAGTTTGTCAAAAATCTTATAATTAGCAGTGGCACACATTGTTTCTAAGCGACCTTTACGCCGTCACAGCGAAATGACGTCATTTTGACGAATCGATATCACGTTAAACGTGTATATCGGGTGTCCTAGGCTAGGCAACTTGACGTCATTATCACGAATCTACCTAACGTCAAAGTGACGTTTATATTGGGTGTCCCAAGGTTGGATGGAATTATTAAAAATACTAAGCAGATGAAAGTTATTTATTTAATCCAAAAAACATGAAAATATATTATAAAAAATAAATTTACACTGGTAAATAAAAAAGTCATGAGCAAGAAACCAAAAGGAATAAAATGACAAAAGAATATTAGAGGAACTGACACAACATACCTAAAATTGTAGATTTGATTTTAATTGAGGGTGGGCAAGCATGCTTTACTAATTCATCATCTTCAGTATCATCGAATGACAGCTTTCTAGTTGGCACCTGTTTTCTTTTAGTAGGTACTTTATCAGCCTTGGAATGTAGATCTGAGATAACTTCGACTTTTTTTAATTTGGTACATCATATTACCATCTAAAATAAAAGAACTATTAAAATACAGACCACTGAAAATTCTTGAAGATAAAAATTGTGTATCTAGTTGTAAAAACTACCTTCTCAGAGGCATACATATAGTCTGAGTTTATAATAAAAGATCATATATTCTGTGAGATGATAAAAGGTATCTAAATCACATCTTTTATTTTTAAATAAACTATTAAAAAAATACTCTGAAAGAACGTTTTAAAAAATAAAAGTATAACATTACTCACCAGTCTTATAGTATATTTCTTTATAAAGGAGGTCAAAGGACTTGTTTTTTACGCAGCGTCAGCCATTTTCTGCTCACCTCACAACCGCCAGACCGTCATCATCCGGTTTTTCAAACTCAACAATGCAATACATCTGTACAATACCAAATTTTGTTTAATATATTTTATTATTTTGTCACATTCTATTTTTCACCTTTTTCTAAAACATCTTATCAAATAAAGTACAATTTAAAAATGCACCACGTTCACAAGGTCACGACTGTCACTCACGAGAATCATGAAGATGGATGAAACAGGAAACAACAATGACAATATGACATTGCCAGAAATATACGAAAAAATAACGTAATTATGACGAATTCTAAGTCAGATAAAGCCGGATATTAAATTCGCGAATAATAAATATCAATAAGTAGTTTGTTGTATTTTAGTTCATTGTTGTTTTTTATTGTTTGCATTCTGACAAGGTTATCATGTATTTTATTTAACACATCTACGAATTAAAAAGGAAATAAATTTATTGTAATATTTTAGCAATTAAATTTGTCTACTCACCAGTTAAAACCTTCATAATAAATGTATCCTTTAATTTATAGTTCCCTTTTCGGCCCTCATAAGAACAAAGTGTGCCAACTTGATTGGTAAATATAGAATTGAGGCACTGATTCATATGATCTCTTCCACTGCACATATCTGAAATAATTAAAATTACATTACAAAAACTGATTAAAATTTTCCATTATATCGCACCCTTAAAATTAAAGTGACACATCTCAAAAAATTAAATTGTTGGTAAATTGAGAAAAACCGTTTGTTTAAACACACCTCTTCTACTTTTATCCCTTTTTAGTCTGGGCAATTAGGTTAAATGGCTTTTTTATTTAAGAAAATAATATTTACATGACCACATTGCAAGAATTTGCACAAATTTTTTTGATTAACGAATTGTTTATATTTTTTTTTATCAAAAAATTAAAAAAATGAGTTGTCACTTTATTTTCAAAATTGTTTTATACTAAAAAAATCTTACTTAGGAATATGTCTCTTTAACTCTAATATTACAATTAAATATTAAGACTAATTTGGGAATTATGCATTGTTTTATTAATAGTCAAATAATTTATTTCGAAATTTTTTAATAATGCCAGTTTACAACTGAATCAAGTAACTTTTTTTGAATTTAGGGTAGGTACTTATTTGCTAGAATAAGAAAACACAAATTTTTACAAAATAAAAAATATATTAAACTTCTTTTTGAACACGAAAGAGTAAATTAAGTGATTATAAAATCGATATATAGAAATCTACATAAAAAGATGGTATTAAACTTTTGGAAATAAGATCTTTTAAATCTTTTTTTTTTATTTTCGCTCAATTCAGATCTGCTCTTGTAAGCCGGTTGAAGAGTGATTTCTTCAACCGGTGACATTTTTTTTTGTTTGTTCTTGTTTCTTATTGAAACTTCTATGTAGTTCTCCTGACTATAGGATGTCTTGTAGAAAAAACTTAATGGATTTTCTTTTTTAAATGTTAGACATTTTATATCGTTCCAGCGAACATTATTCCCCTCAATATCTACATTAAAATTATATCCGCAATCTTCCTGGAGCCGCTTTACGTCGTAAAAAAATCAAAAGTTAATTCTTTTTACCTCCTTTTCAATAATGCTATGGACGTTATCCCCTTCGTTTTGAGAGTGGCCTTTTATTAAGAAATTATGGTTTAAACTTTTAATATTATATTTGTGAAACACATAAATATAAACACTAGCAATATATTTATTTTTGTTTTGGCCACAGCAGTTGTCAGAATAAAATGTTATATCCAGGCCTTCTTTTACTAAATCGCTGTTGTTGGTGAACAATGTGTCAAAATAATCTAAAATACAGGATCCAATTTCGATGGCTCCTCTTTTAGCCTCCACTTCATTCCAATAAAAGCAGTGTACATTCTTGTAAGCACGTTGATCCCGTTCTTTTACGGTTTCATTTTTTTTTTTTAATTCAACAATAGTAAAATTATAAGTATTTAATTTTGACTTGTAAAAAAACGCTGATGTATCACCTCCAGGACATTGTAATATGGCCTGAAGATCGTAAACTACAACTTTACTGGTCTTCGATATCATAACTCGATCTTCATTTTTCTGCTGTCTACATAAATTTTTCTGCTCGATATGAGTCTGGAACTGCTCTTTTAAGTTTGCTTTGGCTTCTCCAATGGCATTATTGTATGAAAGGCACAGATCACATTGGTCTTTCTTAGGTTGAAAGAATCCAATGTTAAATTTTGTCGTAAAAATCTTATAATAAGTACAGTATTTTCCAGCATCTTTATTATTAATTTTTTGGTTTTCCTGAAAATCTATACAGATCTGCTATGGTTTTGCTTCCATCTATGAACTCACGTTCCGTGTTTGCTCTAACATAATGCGACTCCATTCTGGGTATAGAGTTTATATGATTCTTAATAGCTTGCACTAAATCTTCGTTAAGTTGGGGATGACTATCATGTTTTCCTCTATTTTTTTCTTTCAGAAATCCATTTTCATCTAGTTTTGATGAAACGCTACGAATCATTCTATCTGTGATATCCAATGTATTTCTAAAAAATGTTTTACAAACCCTAATTGGCTTCTCATTTATTGTAAAGTAAAAAGCCTTATTAGCATTTCTAGGTCTTTCGGCATTTGTATATTTGTATTTTGGCATAACATTTCTCATGCATGCATGGATAAATGATCTTTGTAGGCCTAAATCTCCAAGTGCCCAGAAATTCTGAAAAAGGGATATACGAGTCTCAGTATCAATATTTTCAGCGCATTTAAGTCTACACTGTTCCTTACAGGTTGGCTTCATGCTCCGAGCAGGGATATCTTTATTTGATTTAGACATAGATTTATATGACTTTTCTGAATTTCTCAACTTCTTTGCAAGGTTTTGTTTCCACAACTCAGGATTTCTGGTGCGCTTCTTTCCCTTCTGAGCAGTCTTTTGAACCGGACTTGAGTCACGGGAGGTAGAAGAACTACTGGAACTACAGGTACTACAGGATCTACTAGAACTACTGGTTTTTCTGTTTTATTAAGTTAATTTTTTTCTTGTTTTCTAATTCATAAGTTGGATCGGAATCCGTGTGATCCATATCACTTCCGTTGGAATAAATTGGTGATATGTGATAATCATGGCTATCTGTTCTTTTTTGTTGTTGAGTTCCTTGAGTCCAGCGAACACCCTACTTCGGCAACGTCTGTTGAAGGTAAATCAGAAGGTACCTACAATTAAAAATTACTTTACATAACGAACAAACAAAATAGATTTTTAGAATTAATAGGCTTTATAGAACTAACTTTATCTTAAAGATTTTAAGTAAATAATATATCATTTTTCGTTTTTGAATTGGGAGTTTTAAATATTTTAACCCCCTTAACCCCCCAATTTTTATTTAGATTTCTTTTTCAGTACCTAATGAATAAGCTTCATCTCCTTATAGAGCTTGATTTTTATTAAAAATTTCAAGTCAGTATTGTTTTTCTTATATATTCATGATTTTTTTTTTTTAAATTTCAACCTACTTCACCCCCTACTTTTAATCAGATTTTTTTTAAATACATAGGCTTTGTCCCCTTACAGATCTTGATTTTTTCTGAAAATTTCAAGTTGATATCATGTTTCGTTTTTGATTTATGATTTTTTTGAGTTTTAACCCTCCCTTAAACCACCCATTTTTATTTAGATTTTTTTTTAAAAATCAATCCTCTTATAGAATTTGATTTTTCCTAAAAATTTCAAGTTAATTCCATGTTTCGTTTTTGATTTATGATTGTTTTGAGCTTCATTTTCCTTGAAAATTTTAAGTTGATATTGTTTTTCGTTTGAAGTAAACCTATCCTAGACGATGCTACCTACCACTGAATTCTCACAGGCGTTATTTTGATTGGTTATAGGCTGTAAAATTGTAGACACCTAAAATAAGAAAAATTATGTAAATAGGTAGAAATTAAAAAATAGAACAACTTTTATTAGGATAACAAGAAGTATTTACCACTTGAGTTAAATTATCTCCATCTGGTAGAAATCCAAATTCTAGCTTGTTGGGATCTTCAGGGCTCTTATTCAGCATTTTCATAATTTTGGAGGCTCTGCTGTCTCCCATTTTTTAAATTCTGAAATGCGAAAATTACTCCAAATGTAATTCAATACTTAGTAATAAAATAAATGTTTTAAAAATATTTGTCATATTTTGTTAATATTTAATTGTAAAGTGCACTAAATACTAAAAATGGAGCAACAAAAGGTAATCTTAATCAAAATTTTAATTGAGAAAAGACTTATTTCTAATAAAGATATCATATTTACCTTACAATTCAATAATTAACTGACATATCTTTAAATAGGTCACAGAGGCTTTATTTGTCATTTGACACATAACCAAATACTTCTTTATTTTAATAAAATAAAACGTAATATTTACCTCAACTTTTACAAATAAAACGACACAATTAGAAATACGCACATAATCACTCGCGAACATTTGGCATAAGACTAAAACGATACCCTCTATTACTAAAAGAGCAAGCAAAGTGTTCTGGCGAGAAAAGGACCTAGTTAGGTATCTGTAATTTGTGAGTAACTTTTCGACGTCAGGTCCTGCGGTGGCCAACAGATAGCGCATTTAAGAGTCACTTTATGACTAAAACCAGAAATATCCAATTTCTTAGTTGTGTCACTTTAGTTTTAAAGGTGCGATATATATAAAAAAGATTTAAAAACACTAACATATAGATACTTACCAAACAAGTTTTGGTTTTTTTATGTCTGCCAAGCTCTTCATTAAAATACTCAGTAGTCTTCATAGGTAGAATTTTAAGTTTTGACATAATTTTGTCACATTATAGTTCTCAATCAGTGGATCTTAATTTTTTTTTATTTCTTTTGTCAGTTCTTTGGTATATTTCAATGTTTCTTGAGATACACGAAGGATTTCTAAAATTTTAGTAGTTACAATAAATTTATTCATTTAAAAAAAGTTAAATTGAAACTAAATAAACATGTCTATTATTACCATTTAGAACTATCTTAACTCTATTTTTTGTTTCTACATTTTGTAACGTTCCGTCCAGCTGACATGTGTATCCCTTTGTTCCGTATCCCTTTGTTCCGTATCCCTTTGTTCCGGATCCCTTTGTTCCGGATCCCTTTGTTCCGGATCCCTTTGTTCCGGATCCCTTTGTTCCGGATCCCTTTGTTCCGGATCCCTTTGTTCCGGATCCCTTTGTTCCGGATCCCTTTGATCCGGATCCCTTTGATCCGGATCCCTTTGTTTCCGATCCCTTTGTTTCCGATCCCTTTCTTCCCGATCCCTTTCTTCCGGATCCCTTTCTTCCGGATCCCTTTCTTCCGGATCCCTTTCTTCCGGATCCCTTTCCTCCGGATCCCCTTCCTCCGAATCCCCTTCCTCCGGATCCCTTTCCTCCGGATCCCTTTCTTCTGGATCCTTTACTTCCACGACTATTAAATTTGTTTCTGTGTCTTGGGTACTGGCAGGGGGGTTGGGTTACATCAGAACTTGAATTTCTGTGCTGCGCTGGTATTTTCTTTCTTTTTCCTTTGCCTTTATCTTCTGTAGAGGAATTATATTCTGGATGTTGCACTTTAATTCTGCAAATTATGTTTTAAAAAAAATATAATCCACTGTTTAATGTATTTAGAATATAATCACAACAATAACATTCCACCCGTACATCACATACTGTCCAATTAAGTTTGTCTGGACCAACACTGTTCTCTGCTGAAGTTCTCCCAGCGACGCTTCATTAGCTGAACTTGGTCTGTTTTTTCAAGGATGTTCATATTATTCTGCATTGTGTCCTCTAGATCTGGATCGCAATATCTTTGGATAATATTAACGGATAACCTGATCTCTTCTATCAAGTTTATTTTATGACCATGTGGTTTTTCTTGCTCTTCTTTTGAAGCTGAATTTCCAGTTTAAAAATTTTCTAGAATTAACTCGTGTTGCTGATGAGGATTGCAAAAGCCATAATCTTCAAAAACTACTTCTGCATCTCGGATTATTTTCTTTTCTTCTTGGTTTTTTATTTTTTTGTAGCTTCTCTATTTATTTGTAACTTTTATTGTGGAAAGTAAATACGTGTTCTGATTATCGTATGTCTCTAAATCCCAAAAGCCGTTAAATATAGATGTTTCGGTACCCCTGAGCAGGTATCTGCACTTTTTTAAATTTACACAGCTCTCCAATCTTATTTATTTCTTTTGCTGCAACCTTCAAATTTATATAGACATGTCCCAAGTTTCGACGTTTTCTTGCTTTGGTTTTCGTTCTTCCTTCAATATTAACTTTTCTCCACCTACTTGCGGAAGTTTTTCTGGGCTCAAAATTGAACCTCTACTACATTTTGCTGGAGCCTGATTAATATCTGCAGTTGCATTGTGATTTTGTCGGGTCCTCTAAGAAAGAAAATATACAGTACTTATTATTTTGTTTAAGGCATACCCGTGCTTTTACAGCGAACATGTGGCAGCTACGATATCCCCGCTATCGCTATGCTCTTAGTTCGGCTAATATCCCACCATCATATACCTAATATGAAAAAATTAGCACTGTATTTTAGTCAATGAGAGGCCTAAGTAATAATAATAAACTTTATTTGCAACTTCCAGTTTTTTATACATATAAAAATATTCAGAAAAAAGTGCCAAAGAAGGCTGCAAAAAGGACTGGTGAACAGTGGATACTGATCAAAGCACCAGCCCTGAGTATTACCAACGCCACAGGACATCGTACAAAAAACAATATAAATATAAATATAAACACAAATGATAGTGAGAAAAAAAGGTATAAACATTCTAAAAAGTAGCTATCACTCTGCTGTGTCAAGAAGAAACTTTTTGTAAAATTTTTTAAATTTACTTACAGACATTTCTTTAAAATCTTGTGGGATAACCTTGTACATTGCATAAATATTATAAGTGAAAGACCGTCTAAAAATAGCAGTATTATGTATTGGAGGTGAGATACGACCACAAAAACGTAGATTGAGGTTATGAACATCAGAACGATACCTTATTTTATTAAAAAGATATGGATGGGATTTATGTAAAATAACAAAATGAAACAAATTAGCCGAGTGTAAGTTTCGTCTGGATTGCATATCTAGCCAGTTTGAATCCTTGAGTTTATGAGAGACTATCAAATTTCCGTATTACATAAGAAAATCTTAAACAAGATTTCTGTACTCTCTGAATTCTAATTATGTCTGCGTTATCTAAACAGGGCCCATAAACTGAATCACAAAAGTTAAAATTACTCAGAACCAGGGAATCTGTTAATAACAATTTTGTTGTAGTTGGAAGAATATGTCGATGTGGGTAAAGCATTTTTAAATTCATGTAAGCTGTTTGGATGCACTTGTTAGCGTGAAGTTTAAACCTCAAGTCATTATCAATTACTAAACCTAAATTGCGAAGAGATGAGGAAAATGATAAAATATGATTTGAAGGCCCGATATTCTAAGGAAAAAAAAAATTAAAGCAGCCCCTTTAAAAAAAGTTGGGGCGTTTGGTACCTCTTAACCCCACCGTATTTTTTTTTGACATAAATAAACTTGCTTTATCGATCTTAAAATCAAAAAGAACTATGAATTTTTTTTTTTTATAGCGAAATGAACTTTGTATCTTTCTTAGTTGTTGCTAATCTAACTATGACATCTTCCTTCTTTATCTGGTGCCTTTGAAATCCCACCTGATCTGGTTGTATACGAATTTTGATTTTGATCACCACCAATTTCACTTTAACAACCATACAAAGTACTAAATCTACATATATCTTGACTTTCAGAGTCTAGTTTTATTTGGAAAAGCCATCTTTTAAATCTAAAACTGAAAAGTGCTTGGCATTTTAAGATCATTAAGAGTTGGTATAGTATAATATTCTTTAATACTTTGATCCCGATGGTTTAGACAAATTCTAATATTACCATTACGCTTATCTACTATCACGCAGGGATTTGCCCATTCATAGGTTCTGTGTTAATTTTTAAAATGTTACTTTTTACAAGTTGGTCCAATTCACTTTTTAATTTATCTTAAACTTTAATTGGGAGGCTTTGTGGTTGGCTTAACATTATACTTCATTTTAATTATATATTCATTGCCTGAAAAAACATCATGAAATTTTTCAATAACCTCATTTTTCAACTTCTTTGACACTACATTATAATTTCTAACTACTAAACCTAACTTCTCTATTGTTTCTACACCTAGGCTTAGCCTGATTTTTATAACTCAAATATTTTTTTGTACATGTTACCTTTTAGTTTGTATATAATTCAACTTTTCCTAGTGTGTCTATTTTAAAATCTCCATAAGCTTCTAAATTTACAAAACTTTTTGTATATTTTTCTCTTCATCATTTTCGAACTTAAACGTATTATAAGCAACTACTGATTCGGGCCCTATTAGGTTTAAAATAATTGCTGTCTGCCTTTCTCCAGGCTGTTGATTTAAACCAGATGCCATCATGTATATATTATTTTAATGAATTTTGCGACACTTCTTACACGTCCATTTTTTTAAATTCTATCTTTTCTCTTCGTGTTTCTATTACTTTACTATTTATCGTTACCTTATACTGACTGCGCCATGCGTGTTGAAATATTGATTAAAACACTGCAATTAATTATTAATTGTTTTATTAATTTTTAACAGCGGTACGCTTTATGTGTGCCTTGCTGACATCAACTTGGCAGGTCAAGCAATGGCCATGGCAAAGAATACCTACCCAAGAAGCGAAACTAAATGGGCGATTCGTGGACAAAAAACTGCCAAGTTTTCTCAGTGTTTTAGAGGTGGTTTAACGTCAAATATAGTTGTCAATATATGTAGAGCAACGTTTGGTATATTATTATTAGCGTTTTGTGAAAATTGCAGTATAGTTAAGTGAGTTAAGTAGTTGTATTTAACTAAGTAGTAATTAGAAATTAGATAGTTTTAAAATTTGTATTGCATAAAAAAATACATTGAGTTGTTCGTAAATTTTATTGAACGTTTTTGCATCTAACTGTAAATGTTTTTTTTTTATTTCTAAATAACTAATGATAATTTACCCATAAGTATTATGCATCGTTTAATTATTTAGTCTTTTATTTAAATATGTTATTTTTTTTTGTTTTTCAAACCATTCGAATTAAAACGGTTAATAAACAGTAATACAAAACAATAATTGAATCAGTGAGTTCGAAAACCATACAAGTCCAAAATTTGACATTTCAAAGTAAGATAGCCATTTTGTTTAAAATTTGTCTCTTCTTTGATTGAGCTTAAAAACCTTACTAGATACCTAGCCGTTAACTTAGTACAGCTGATTACACCCGTGA